GCGTATAGTTTTTTTAATATACACTTTGCTAGTTTCGACTGATAAATTGTTAGTTGTGTTATTCTGTGTGGGAAACTTGACAGTTATGTGACGCACATGACGAATGATATTTAGTCAACCTAATTTGACAATAATTTTGAAATATTTAGAAATTTACTGACGAATTCTTCAATCTCAATATCAATCATATTGTTAATATTTATTGGTATTGACAATATTAACAATCGTATGCTGGCCGCTTTGCAATAATTTTTGTGCATTTTCATTGATATACAGTTACTCTGGAAAATATTCGAACACTAACGAAAGAACCATTGAAAATATTCATAATATTTTGAATATTATTTTGCAAAATATTCGGACACTTAGCAAAAATTAATATTTCGACTACTCGTAGTATTCATATTCATAATGTTTAAGATAAAATATGAAAGTGAATAAAATATTATGAATATGAATAACATGAACATTATGCTAGAAATATTCAAAACATTAATTTCTGCTAAGTGTCCGAATATTTCTGGGAGTAACTGTAAAGTATTTTATTGCATATTTCACTCATTTTTGCATTTTTCAATATTTTTTATTTCCAAAACTATAATAAAAATTTGCACTTCTCACAAACGACAAGCAAAAAACGTGAGAACACGTATCGAACGCAATTACCGAGGAAAATGTATTAACAAATAATCCAGAGAAATGGAAGAGGGAAAAGTACAGCGACACAAGCATCATTAAGCGACGATTCCCCGTTTAAATAATTCAATACTCGGACGAAAGAACGGTTGCCACTCGAACAGGTATTCGTACGTCTAATCGATGTATAACTAGGGAACGTTAAACACACGATCCAAACATATGCTGGGAGTTACTCTATTTTGTCGGAGTATACAGCGATTGCCGTTTATCCACCGCTGTATCTTGATTTACGCGTCAACTTTCAAGCCGATAAGATCTTCTACATGACAGAAGCAAGGGTGGCAAGACGCGAGAAGGACAAACGGCGCGTTAAATCGATCAACGACATTGACGAAATCGTGGAAACTTTTCGGGGCGAACAGCTGATTCCATTATGAAAATCAGCCATTTTGGGAAATATAATTGTAGTTAGGAAAAACATTAAAAACACTGTTTCTCGTATTGGCAATATTTAAAAAATATGAATCACCACGTGACTTTGACAAATTACGTAATTTAATAATATATAGGATTGTACGATTTCTTTAAGAATACTAAAAGAATTTATATATCCGGGATAAGAATGTTGATCTGCTTAAAAAAAAAATACTCTGGACATAGAAATAAACAAACGATTTTCTCTCAACTTCATATGCCAAAACTGATCAATTTTATTTTTTTACAATCACTTCCCAGGCCTATCGAAATAAGTTTCCCATTTATTTATAATGACTTACATTTTTGCAATGGAATAGAAAGGACAACACAATGTAAAGAGTGACGGAAAATAATGAAAGAAATTTGTACTTTTTGCAAGATTAATTGTGCAGCGTTAAGGGTTTGAAAATACGAGATACGAAAACCTGAAATCTATCTAAAACAAAAACTAAATAGCACATCCTTGTCCAAAACGACAAACGTGTTAATCAAAATGAAAGAACGCCCAATGGGCAAGTAAAGAACGCGGTGGAACTGCATCACCTTGGAAAATGCGACGGCGAAAAAAAGAAGGGATGACGGTGCTACACGAAGGCAGCATAAGTAGAAGCGGCAGCAGCAGCAGGATCGTCTCTCGTGCGAAGGTCGAGTCACTGGCTGAGAGAAGGAAGAAGGGTGCGTGCGGGCCAGAGAGCCGAAAAGGGGGACAAGAGGGGCAAGATGCAACGCACATCTATTGATTCTCCTTCAGCGTGAAGGCCCGCGTGTCCCACTCACTTTCGGAGCCCCGCACACGCACGTTTTTCCCCGGCCCGCGTACACGGACACGTGGCGCAGATCGGTGCTGCGTGTGTGCACACACGCGCACGCTCGAGTGCGTCCCGAGTTGAATGCAGGGCACAAAACGGCCTTCTATATATCTCCTATCTCTCTCCCTCTCCCTCTCTTTCTTTCACTTGTTCCGAAAGGAGGAAGGAAAAAGAAAAGAAAAGAAAAAGGAAAAGAAAGAAAAAAAAGGTGGAGAGTGAGGGGGGGGGGAACTGGATTTTGCAACCTCCCTTCCGTGCATTCCTACTGTGAATTTCCTTCGCCGGCTGCATAAAGAATTAGAATGCTAGAGAACACGCGTACACGTACCGTACCGTATACAGCCTTACCACGGAGAGGCGCACGGAGAGTAGGAAGAAAAAAGAGGGAGGCACACGGAGGTACCAGAGGGGTGAGGAGTGCGGCGTGCACGAGGAGGCGGGGAGGGGGGAGAGAGAGGGGGGACCTCGCGTCCAAAAGCCCGGTAGCCGCGGCTCACTCTCTCTCTCTCTCTCTCTCTCTCTCTCTCTCTCTCTGCTCTGCACTTGCAACTTTGCTCCTAGGACTAACACTGAACGGTCCTCCCGTATTGAAAATTCTCTCCTCGAGGGTTAAGCGCGTTTGCTCGCTTTGCAAACATCAAACCAGATCGGCATAGAAGAAACGCCGCTGCCTCTCGAATATAATGTTTGTTGAATAACAAAGTGCACACCGAGCGAGTGAACGACTTTGTTGCCTTTGTTAGTCGAGCAACACCGGGTGCTGTCCTATGTCATCGAGATGGGTAATTAAACAGAGGACGACCAGCGAATGGTACGGGCTGTGTAGAGGACGGCAATGTCGTCGCGTGAAAACATACGTATGCGCGGGAAATGCGGCGCGCAAATTTTGCAGTGAATAATTGTCGAGAGGGTTCGACGAGATTCGGATATTCGACGAGAAATTTTAGTTGTTTCGAGTGTGTTATTGTGCTGTTGATACGTTTCGATTAGACGAACTTGTCAGGTTGGATAGTACTAACCGGTGAAAACAACTTGACTCGCGTAGACTGTAGTTGATGTTACTCTATATCTTACTACGAGTTTCAATATGAATATAATGGTAAAATTAGAGACACGGTGATTCGTTGATGAATCAGGAATAAAATTAATTTGAAATGAGAGGGATATGTTGTGAAATGACGAGTTAAATTCTAGTTCGTCGCTAGTTAACATTTTAATAATAAATAAACTTTCGAGCAATACTTAACGTACAATTAAGAACAAAGAATTTCTGAATAATTCGAAAATGGCAAATTTATTATATTTCCACACGTTAGTTCGTAAGAAACACATTTGATTAACTAGAAATTTTGTATAAATTATTGTTTTCTTACCAAATACTGGACCAAAAAGTGTGTCAAACTATGCAGTCCGCAATTTCAATTTATTCACCGCAAGTCAATCGTAATAGAGTGTCAATTATTTATGTTAACTAGAGTGTAGACGAAATCACGTAACACGACGAAGAGTAGAGCAGCGAGAAGCAGCACACTTCCGATATGCAGGGCCGACCTTAACACAGTGGCCGTTTCGGGTGCTCCTGATCTTGCCTTTGTTTACACGAATCGAAAGGCACGCGCAAGCGACGTCGCAAAAACTATGACGCTGTTCCTCGAACCGTTAACAGGATGCAAAGTATGATTTGAATGTACAGAAGTCATCGTACCCAGCGGAATACCAAACATGCAGAAACACAAACATGTGCCGTCGTTAAGGTTACAAAAACAACTGTTGTAGGTTGCCGCAAGGGTCAATTTGTGCGTCGAGAAATTGTGTACCGACATTCCATTCAGGCAGCGATCGGTTATCAACTACATTACAGAATATTCGAAACAAAAATTTGACAAATACGAAAAAATACGATAACATGTTCTGAATATCAATTCCGCGGTGTAGCAGCATTGGGATAAAATGCTGTTATCGATATGAAGAAAACCTACGATTAGAAATTTAGATGTTTGAAAATACCGTAAAATATTGACTCTGTTTGCATATGATAAAATACAATTCTATATTTTTATTTGACAATTCTACGAGAGCTGTTCCATACGTTTAATCGTATTCTGAACTATGGTTTGAAATTTTTAGAATGTATCACAACGTACTACGTTAACACGTGATACATCATATTTTATCACAAGTATATACTGAAATAATATAATAGAAACAAAGAAGAGTAAAATGGCCCAAATATCAGATTAAATAAATAAAAACTTACGAAAATCGGTTTTCCACGCATTCGTCTCCCGCCTTTTCCCGTATTCTTCTTTTCCGAATTTTCAAAGTGTTACCTCGATTCGTCGTGGAGTTAAATGTTACTCGATTCTAACCCTTTCGGGACGTGTCACTAAACGCCGGTACCACGCGAGCAGAGAACTCATTTTCGACGATACATTTCTGTTCTTAGTTCGAATGTCAGATCATGGAAATCACTCGTCGAAGAGTTAGGGATTTTCGTATCATCGTATACGATAGCGGTGAAAAGATGACAATGTAAGAAACGCAACCGATTTTCGCGAAAAACTCTCAACTCTTCCGTCCGTACGCTGCCAGCAGCGAAGGCGACTGAAAACAGAGAATCGGCCGGCAGATCGTCGGTCGCATAGACGCCCTTGTCACGCATTGAAAACGAAAATTTGGTCTGGAATCAGTGGCGCCGTCTTGTGGGAGCGGGAAGACTTACTTTTTATTTTCAAGATCTTTCAAACACAGAACGAATTCCTACGTAACTAGTACGACACAGTTCTTAAGTCACATAACAGTTCTGTTTTACGATTGTAATAAAATGCAATGTTAAATCTTATACATAATCCACGGAAAAATAATTATTTCAAATATTCTGCCCAAATTTCTATTAAATGAAAAAATGATAGGGTATAATGATCTAATTAAATTTATGTGTAATTATATAAAAACTTAAGTTATATAAGTAATTAACATATTTTTGTCTTAAATAAATTAAACAAACATCAGTTCGGTTGAGCTTTATTTTTTATTTATACAGCTTTACCGTATTTATAATACTTCATTTTGGTAGCTTATTAAAGAATTTCAGGGGGAATTAACGAAATATTTGTAAAACATTTTCTGATATAAATTATGTTATTATTTGACTACGTGTACTAACATATTAACCAATAAGTAGCGTTTGTTCATCTAGAAATTCATAATATGGAACCTCTAGATTTAAAGGTGCTGGACCTCTCCTAATTCTTCCACTTGCATCATAATGAGAACCATGACAAGGACAATAATAACCTCCAAAATCGCCAGCATTGGCAATTGGGACACATCCTAAATGTGTGCATACACCTAATACAACCAACCATTTTGGTTCCTTTACACGATCTGCATCTCTTTGTGGATCTCGAAGAATTGAAATATCAACTGATTCCTCCTTTGCAATTTCTTTTGCTGACCTATTTTTATTCATATAGTATGTTTATCTGATAAACAATACATTCTTAAAACATACTTATAAATATGCTTAATAATACTTACCTGTGTCGTATAAATATGGGCTTTCCACGCCATTTGAAAACAGCACTCTTGCCTTCAGGAATGCTATCCAGTTTAACTTCAATCTTTGCCATAGCTAAGACATCTGCTGAAGCGCTTAAGGAGGATACTATATCATATACAATTGATTTTGCAGTGTAAGCACCACAAACTCCAGCACCTGTATAACAAACAAAAATTTATACTTCTCTGTAATACTCAATCTAGCACAACACAAGGAGAAATAAAAGATTTATTTACTAGCTGTCAGCAGATATGAAAATGTTTTACGGCTAGATGCACTTTCTCTGCTTCTAACTTTTGGGTCCTGCACCGACTCCTGACGATAGTCAGTAAAATCTGGCCATTTAATATCTGTATGTGCTGATCTCTTTTGAGTTACTAATAAGCTCGCTGAAAAAATCAATGAAATAAAAGTAAATATACTAAATTACACTATACAAAAATTAAATATACTAAATGATTTTTTCTCTTAAAAAGACAAAAATTTTGCATAACATGCAGCTCTATTGGTACAACAGTGATGTGTGATGTGTACTGCATGCAGCATACGATTATGTAATAGAAGTATACAAGATCATTATTTGTTGAAATAAGCGTGGAAACTAATAAAATAATACTGAAGTAGAAATTTCGAACCTCCAATTCCTGAGCTTACACGCAGAGGTCCTGTAATAAGAGATTCAAGCATACTTTGGCCGATCAATTGTCGAACGACAGGTTTAGTGACAATTTTTTGTTTCAGTACAACACCACTTCCAGACACTGGTTGTATTCCATTTGAAACGACGGTCGTTGCCGATTTTAAAAACGGCGACAAATTAGTGGATTTCGCTACAACGTTCATTTTTACAAACTACGCACGTACGAACGAACGAAACGAATTCATGGAACCTCAGCTAAAAGTCGAAGACCTACGTTGGTAGATGTCTCTGCAATGCAGTGTCACATGCATACAGATGTCATGTAACAACGTATTGAACTAATCAATAGAACAATACAATTTTTAACAACAATCATAAAAGTTATTGAAGAACGTTCGTATAAATAGAAATACAGACTATAATCCTTCTATAATTAATGCACGAGGTATTTCAAGGGAGAATTAAAACATTTTTCTACTAAAGTAATTTATGCTATTCAGTGAAGTATATTGGAGTTTAATAGTAAAATATTTTTATTTTTAGAGAATTAAATGCATACCATTCTTTTAATTGTACCGTAACATGATAGCAAAAATTAAATTTAAATATTATATCATTTTTACTATATTATTTTA